CCATGTTATTCATATGTATACATGACGTGTGTATATGTGTGTTGGTTGCTAATCACAATTGAATCTATGTATATATTGTTGAAGATACGTGTATCGTATGATGTATATCTGTTTAAATGTATGCGTAGATGTGAATGTATAAATAATGTTTATGTGTTGTTTGGGCTTTAACGAGTCTTAGTGGACTGTTATGAATCTATTGAGCTTTATTCTTTTTTATTAGGTTTAAAGGATTTCATTGGGTTTTATTCGATTTTAAATTGTATGAATTGATTAGCTTTAATTTGTTGGACAGTTTTGGTTTGTTATTTTATGGGCAGATTTTGTATAAATAAATATAGGAATAATCTAATTTTAATTAATTTATTTTTAAATCATTAAAAATTAGCGACGGATTAACGACAAAAAAAATTTGTCACTAAAAGATCTTGTTCCCTCGCAAAGTTGTCGCTAAAAGTCTCTCGCTAATCCGTTGCTAAATACCTCAGTTGCTAACTTCTACATTTTAAGATACTCATCACCTGCATCCATTTCAATTGATGTCGACTTGTGCCTCTCAATTCCCAAATCTGGTCCATTTTAAGCCACCGGTTGCAAACGAGTGCAGCTTGTGGCTTAATTGAAAAGCCAGAAATAATGACTCATAATATTCTTGACAAGAATGGAAAAGGATGGGTTCCTTCAATAATTTGAAGATATCTTTTGATCAAAGGAAATCTAGTCTATGGTCATGATGAGTGATGCTTAATAGAATGGTCCATGAAAACCACATCTACCAAACACCTTGTGTCATCATTTACACAACATTTACACCTACATCAATTTTCAAGCCTTCTAAAGCTAGCATTGTTGACTTGCACCACCTCACTAGATTTGCCTTTTTCATAAAGCTATAACATTCATTAGTTCAATTAAAAAGTGTACTAAATATATAACCAATATAAAGAAATAAAGCATGACGATAATCATTCATTTGTCCGTTAAGACCAACTTTTAAAACGTTACTTTATGGGGAATCATCTGTAATTATGTATGCATGTATATATGTATATGTATATAAAACCTACAAATTGGTTTTCATGTGTTGTTTCATATGTGAAAACAAAGATTAAGGATCCCAGAACAAGGAAACACTGCTTCAATTGTCTCACAAATCCGAATAAAGAATCCAGATAGATTTTAAACGAGACAGAGGGGGGGGGGGGGAATTCATCCTGGAAGTGGGAGAACTGATGAAACTACTTGAAACCCTGACCCAAAATAGAATGACCATTTAGAATAATGAAACGGATTATATTTATCGAGAAGTGCTAACCGCTTAGTCTTATCCCTCTCTAGGGGTATTTTAGTAATAAAATCCAATGTATTTTCACATGTGTTGTTTCGTACATAAAACAAATACTGAAATTGGTTTCTAGGTTTGTATGTTTTATTAGGTTTGTAAAATAACGGACTCTTCTAACTAAGTGTATATGTTGAATCGTTCCCTTTTTTATACATGGGGTTTTGAAAAGAATCCGTTACGTGATTTCTTTTATATAAATCACACTGAATTACATTTACATATACAATAATTTGCCCGATAAGCTCTTACTATGATAAAAGTTGTCGCATTCACTTACCGGGTAAGATTCTTGGTTTTTGTCATATTCATCCGGTAAGGTAATGTGACATGGTAAACGCTTACCTGGATTAACGTTTGGTAAATGTCCCTTATGTGATTTATAAAATAGGAGAAAAAATAGAAAGAAAGACCCATAAAATGATATAAATGAATTAATTAAGCAGTCCTTTTTGTAATTAAATATTGAAAAATCCCAGCTCAAAATTCCATTTAACTTTTGGCACACCTCTTTTTGTGCTGGATTTAATGCTTTGTAGTGAATTATTTGCAAGATTCTCATGCATACTATCACTATGCTCCCTTATTTCTAACAAAAAGCTCCACTTTTCTTCTAAAATTGTTCCACCAAATGATTCAAAAATAAGCATGCAATAGTATTCTAAACACAATATGAGTAAACCAAATTATACAGGGACGGATCCAGATAAATTTTTAAATAGTGACATTATCTGATTATAAGGGTGAAAGCTGTATAAATTTTTTTATAGATCTGTTGATTATCTTTTGCAAGGAAGGGTCATGGGTCTATCTGATTAGAGGTGTTCATGGGTTGAGTTGATCGGGTTGAAGACATTTGAACAATCCAACTTAATACTTGCAGCTTGAAAAATCTTAACTTAACCCAACTCAACCTAAACCGTACAGGTTGATCGGGTTGGTTTGGTTGATACTTTGGTACATTAAAGTATTCTTCTAACCTTGAATGTGTTATTTCTTTACTCATAATTTCTTTTTTTATTATCAACCATTTGATACAACTTATCCATATTTTTTGTGTATTTCACATCCAATTAATTTTTTCAATTTACATATATATGTTCACAATTATTGAACATATATACGAATGAGTTATACAGAGATGGAGAATTGATTGAAAATATGTATATATGAAAAGCGTACGTGATAGTGTAATTGTCTAATGTATATATTAATATAAACTCAACAATCATTTTCAATCCAAGAAATAAAAATATCGGATTCATCGGGTTGGATTTAGTTCAAATAATAGTAACCCAATTTCAACTCAGTACCTACAGTTTGAAAATTTTACAACTCGATATAATGGTAGATTTTTGGCCATTTGAGATAATAACGACTTGCAAAAGCCGTCCAACATCTAAGGGCTCTGGAGCATACACTGATTTGTTAGCACCGAACGAAGATTAAATTTAGCCAACAAGCAAACACAGTATATCATATTATCTTTCTTCTTCTTTAAACTTGTTCATTGAGATCCTTAAGAAACTTGAAAGATCTGATATAATTATCATCTCTAAAATCATGCAACTTTTTGTTTGGTAACATTTCAATAAATTCATCAATTAGAAAATAACTAAAAACTGAAATTACCTTTATACCCTTAATAACTGATTGCAACATGTTAATTAACAAGAAATAACAATGGTTTATTATTAGTGTAAATGGGTTTGTATTATTAATATCATTTGTTTGGTTAACAAAAGACCCCCCTCTCTCTGTACGATATTATAAACTCATCTAACAAAAACTTTTAAAAATCATTTTTTTATACATGATGTACTGTTTATTGATGCATATTACTTATAATTCAAGATTACAAGTAAATTGTGCATAATTACAACTTATTAAAACTCCATGTTTGAATTCGTGTAACGCAGATAAACATAATCATATACAAGATAAACATCTCATTTTAAATACTAAAAATCTAAAATATTATTAAGATAATAATTAAAATCTAATATAATATTTAATTATTATCTTTATAAAATAGTTATATTATTAAACAAAAAGTAAATTACTTCGTTATTAAACCTAAATTAAATTATAATTAAAAAATTGAATTACAGATATTAAAAAAAAAACTTTTAAATAATTAATTTAATACTAATATCAATATAGTTTTTTCAAAAATAAAAACATTATCGTGTTCTCAAAATCATATAAAACCGTATTATATCAACAAAGACAAAGAATAAAACAAAACATTAAAATTGAGATGTATTTCACTGTATTGCATGAATACCCTTCTAGTATTATTTATATATATATATATATATATATATATATAGAGAGAGAGAGAGAGAGAGATGAGTGATCATATGAAAACCGCCCCTCATTTGTGTAAACCGTGCAAACCACCTTCATCTGTCGATTTCATTGTTTAATCTTATGAAATTTTTTCATGAAATTGTTTAATCTTGTGAAATTGTTTCATATAATACTTTTTTTGATGAAGTTGTTT